AGGTGAGCAATTTGGTGTTAGAGGTGAGCAATTTTGAGTTAGAGGTGAGCAATTTTGAGTTAGAGGTGAGCAATTTGGAGCTAGAGGTGAGCAATTTTGAGTTAGAGGTGAGCAATTTGGGGTTAGAGGTGAGCAATTTAGAGTTAGAAGTGAGCAATTTTGAGTTAGAGGTGAGCAATTTGGGGTTAGAGGTGAGCAATTTAGAGTTAGAGGTGAGCAATTTTGAGTTAGAGGTGAGCAATTTGGGGTTAGAGGTGAGTAATTTTGAGTTAGAGGTGAGCAATTTGGGGTTAGAGGTGAGCAATTTTGAGTTAGAGGTGAGCAATTTTGGGTTAGAAGTGAGCAATTTTGAGTTAGAGGTGAGCAATTTGAGGTGAGCAATTTTGAGTTAGAGGTGAGCAATTTTGAGTTAGAGGTGAGCAATTTGGGGTTAGAGGTAAGCAATTTTGAGTTAGAGGTGAGAAATTTGGGGTTAGAGTTGAGCAATTTTGAGTTAGAGGTGAGCAATTTAGGGCTAGAGGTGAGCAATTTGGGGTTAGAGGTGAGCAATTTGGAGTTTGAGGTGAGCAATATGGGGTCTGAGTTAAGCAATTTGGAATTAGAGGTAAGCAATTTGGGGTTACAAAAGGGTGCAGCAAAACTGAGAATATGTTTATTTTACACACACTTATCCAGAAATATGTTGCCGAGCAAGCGTCCAAATCCTTGTTTTGTTTTCTTTGATTATATTAATTATATGAGAATGAAGCGATATCTCTATGGCTTAACATTTTCGATATTAGGTTTTCCACAATGGGTGTGAAAATTGGGGTATATAAACGGTTCAGACATTGAAATATAAATATGAATACACTTATACTATTAAAGCGTCAGGAGTACTACATATGTATACAATACTGTCATAGGTCAGGCTTCTCAGTTCCTCATTCAATCATTACTACTATTTTAAATAGCTCGAATACGTCTACGAGGAAGAAATAAGTTCATAAAATACTTAGTATTTAAAATATATACCCGTAAATCGGTAGGTATAAATAGGATTACAGCTGAACTTTCACGGAATGTAGTATTATATTTGTCGTTCGTCCGTCAACAATTATATCTTCGACTTTTTCTTGAGAACTACTTGCATTGATACGCAAATACCTTGGGCCTCCGTCAGATTAGTTTGAGACAGACCGCCACCAGTCACTGAGGACATAGAATATTTCGTTTTTATCTCGCATAAATTTCGCTATTACTAAACGCTGCCTTTTTGTATTTGTTTATCTGTGTTCTTTTTTCTTGATTGTATTTATGAAATTCCACATTTCGCTTTTGCTGACAGAGTGAAGCGATGTGTATAATCGAAAACAGGAACATAACTAACTGTATGACAACGTCGAAGGACACCACCATTCACCAAAACAACAAACTAAATTATACAGTTATCACACTGCAATTCCAGGGAAGAAAGTGATCATCAAGCGGATGAAAAGGTGAATGAAGTTTTTTAGATGGATTAAATAAGCTAAACGTGCATGCAGGCCACATCAGAATACACGCGCACACACTTACGCACACGGTATATACATAAACACACATTGGGATCAATTAAGCGGCAGAGTCATAGCTAGGATGACTTTTGGATTTGATTATAGCTAGAAACGAGGAGAGCGTTAATTCCTGAACATATGTGCGCGAGTAATGTTTTTACTGGGCAGAGTAATTCAGAATAGTGTATATTTGCATGGTAACTTAGTACACAGTCAGGGACTGTGCTTAGTATAATACTTTTTTCATTGAGCACATAACATTGACAACTGTGTATATCGCCCTCTGTGTCAAAATTATGCCAAAGGACTTCCAATGTTTTGGTTTTGATTATATCTGGGCAAACCATTGCACCAACAATCCAAGAGTGTTTTTGTCAATTTGAATATGCTTTAAGGTAGAGATGCAGGTTTGTGGGCACTTGGGAGTGAATTTTTTTTTTTGCTTTTTTTTTATCCAAACAGTCTTTGCAGACCTGTTAACATTTTGTAGAACTGTGAATAGCAGAACATACTCAAAAAACGATTTTAAAATATAGATAACAGGTGCAAACATTATCTCTTTTGAATGCTTAGCAAGATTTAGCAAGGCTGTACATAAATAATAAAAAAAGAAACATGGTGAAAAAAGAAATGACGGGATCTCCATAATATGCACTATATTTAACTTTTAACAAAACGATAATACATTTAAATTTGGAAATGTTACAGCCATTTTAATTATGAGCATTAGCAAACTTCTTACTGAGTGAATTGTTATGCAAATTAGCAATTATCTCAGCTTCTTTTTAGTGCACATCCCAGAACTTAACAAAAAAATAGCTCCTGGACGCTTTGACCTTTTGTTTTGAAATGTTCACAAATGATTGACAATGTAATGATCTTCAAAACGCTGTCGGGCATTATTTTTGGTTGAACAGTGTTACAACAATCGTACAGACAACTTGCCTGGGTGTTAATTTATGCATAGACTTGAAGTAGTGAAATTTGAGCTGCTGCCCTGCAAAATTGACAACTGGTAGACAGCTTTCAAGACGTCACTTTCTTCATGGTGAACAGATGTACCCATAAACCAATTTCGACAGGAAACAGAAACATGGTTTAGAAGCTAATTTTTTTTTAATCACTTTTGACAAAAAAACACATTTTTGTGCATATTTCAAACTACAGTGTCCATAAAAGAATACTAAAAAAAATTAAAAATTAATACAATAAGCTTTCCGAAAATATATAGTTTTGTGGACAAGGGAGGTCATCTTGGTTTCCTAATTAACTAATTAAAATACCTGGCAGGTAAACTGCATCTCTACCTTAAATATTACATTTAAGTCAATTTTCTAAGTTACGGTCTTTTAAGTCAGACATGTCTAATTTTACTACAGAAAATTACTTAAATTAATCTGTAATCAATAATTTTCTAAGCGTGAAGAATTAATTAAATAAAACCTGTTCAAACTGTAACTTGAATGCAGCTGAAGGTAAACAATAGTGCGCCATCTATAGTTAAGAAAGGACTACACTTTTTACTTATCATGTACGAGTGCGACTACAAATAATGTAGTATAATAACGAGTACGATAAATGTGCTGGACCGATCAAGTTCAAACTTCACAAATGCCACGTCACATATAATTCTATATCCAGTATTTATATGTTTATTCAATCTTGTAATTTTTACAGTTAGCTTTGATATGTTTATACTGTTATATTGTAAGTAATCTAAACTCCATGGAGTACACGATGTTAATAAAGATTAAAATTAATTTAATTTGTTCAATGCTGGTTTATTGAGTACGCTATTAATAGACTCATTTTTTGGAGGGGTCATAGTAAAAGACCATCAGCCAAGACCCGCCTCCCCTCTCGTTCAATGGTGCGATCCCAAAAGCAAAACCGGGATACCGCTGTGTGAGTTCTGAGTGCTTCGAAAAAAAAGCATAAATAACAATAAAATCGAAGCTTTCCCTGCTGAATGCGTTTCGGTTTATCAGTGAGTGATATATGTTAGCATTATGTAATACTATGTACCAGCCAGAGGTTTACACCTGTCTGGTTTGCCTGGAGACGTACACCCGCGTTTTTTTTTCAGGCAGGTGTGATATACAGCACTACGTTGAGCCCGCATCAAAAGTCGAAACTATTTAACTCTACTGACACGCCGTTTTTTCTGTAATAATGTATTTTTCACATCCGTAATTTAATTTGAATAGCAACGTTTTGCTATTTTAGTATAGTGTGACGTACGACAGCACGTATGGTAGACTGCAGGCCGGAATGTTTATGCAAATATTTTAGCATGTCCATTGACGTCATTGTAATACGTCCCATAACGACATCGCACAATGGCTAGTATTTTTAGATTAATCGAATGGAGCAATTTTAGACCAATCAAAACACACTTTATATTGGTGCATAGCTGAGTCGGTACTTGCGCAGCCAGTATGCGTAGAATTGTATTTTTGTACTCACTGTTGTCCTTGCTAGAAATTATCACTGTGAAATTTTAGCGTTAGTTCATGTGAAAGTATTTCATTCATTTTCCGCCCAACCTTGTAGGAAACGGACATTAGATTACCACATACATGCCAGCGATATAGAAATCACAGCACCCCAACTCCAGCATGAACGATCTAGGCCACAGGAGCTCGTTCGATGGCAAAATCGCCGGTAACTACGATCTCGAGGAAACTCTAGGAAGGGGTCACTTTGCGATCGTCAAACTAGCTCGGCACGTCTTCAGCGGCGAAAAGGTAGCTGTCAAAGTCATCGATAAAACCAAACTAGATGAAGTATCCCAAGCTCATCTCTTCCAGGAAGTACGTTGCATGAAACTAGTCCAACACCCGAATGTTGTACGTCTCTACGAAGTTATAGAAACACATACAAAACTGTATTTAATACTGGAGCTTGGCGATGGAGGTGACATGTACGACTACATTATGAGGCATGAATGTGGACTAGACGAGGACACAGCAAGGACTTATTTTCGTCAAATTGTTCGGGCCATATCGTACTGCCACAAATTACATGTTGTGCATCGCGATCTGAAGCCCGAGAACGTTATTTTTTTTGAAAAACAAAAAGTTGTTAAACTGACAGACTTTGGCTTTAGCAATCTATTCTTACCCGGCGAAAAACTCGAAACGTCTTGTGGAAGCTTAGCCTATTCCGCTCCAGAGATCCTACTCGGAGATTCCTACGATGCTCCTGCAGTGGGTAAGTGTTTGTAAATGCCACATTTTTATTTATTATGAATATAAAATTATATTATTACACTTTTGCAGTTCATGCAAATCGCTGTCTGACTTCATGTGTGTTATATTACAACACACAATACACCTTTGAGTGAACATTGCATCCTGCAGGCGGGCTTGAAGCAGTATGGCCACCGAGTCAGAAGGTATTAAACGTCGAAAGTAAAATCGATAAGTATTGTGTTAGTCCAATATATCTAAAGACACTCGTGGTAACATTTATTCACTTTGATGATTGTAATACATTTCACTAAGTTGTGTATGTAGTCAAATTATCCTTTTTTTGTGTAGAAATAAGTTGTTAGGTACCAGCTTAGTAATTATTAATTAAAACATGATGAACTGAAATATTTAATTCCACTCATCATCTCAAGCATTTTCGGAAAATTGATAAACAACCACATCGTGCAGGTAGACATAAAACCGAATGTCACTGAAAGTAATACAGAAAGTCACATGAGTTTACATATAAGATCAGGTGAAAGTATTTGCATAGAGTCAGCTGTCAAACTTGTTCTTGTATCAATTCATATCAGATTTATGATAGGGTATTCTTCACCAATCAACGCCGTGTATTAATACTTTGCCGACCAGATAGATTATTTGTGGTTGTGTGTCAAATTAAATTCACAAACTTCTCATCCCATCTCATCTTGTATTACCATACTAACTAAATTATTTACGTTAATAATCAGTCATTATCTAACAGATTTTGTTGATGAGGTGAGTACGTAGGCCTATATTTAACTATGAGCTTGCTTTTCCTTTAGGGTGCCTGGCTTACGCCTCTGCAATCGTAATAATCCGAGAGTTAGATAAACCCACTCTTTTTAATAATCTTGTATTAAAGTTTATTATTTATATTTCTACATGTTGCTTTCATTTAGCCTTATAATATCATACTCAACCACGTTAGTGGGATCTGTGACCTCCACTTGTAAAATCATGATTTTAAAGGAGTGGGCTCTTAGCCGAGCACAATCTCAGAAAATTCACGTGACATTAGCATATTACAGTGGCCCTTAGCTAAGTCACTGGTGTTGGGATGCAAGCAAAAATCATGACTTATTGAGGGCAGCGACTAATCAAGGGCCAACTAACACAAAAGTCCAGAAATATATATTACACTATTATTGGTAGAGTAATGGCTGAGTATAATGTAGGAATAGTAAAACGTTAAAAAAAGACAAGTCCGACAAAAAGGGACCAATGTATCATGACTAGTCAGATAAATAACGAAATAAAGGGAAGAAAGAAATTGTGTTAAAGTAGAGGATGGGTGCTTGATAGGATACATGTATGGCTTCTAATCCAGTCAATTATGATAGCTATAGCCTGGTTCACACACTGTCAGGGATTTTTTTAAACAAGGGAACAGGGGCGCAGTGCCCTCATGCCATGGCCATGCGCCCCTTTACCCTAGGGAGCAGATCCTCTGGCAACCATAAAATTCTGATTGACCAGGGATCACATGTGGCCACAGTTTTCAACTGTGACCTGTCTGATAGTAATTTTGGCCCCAAGAAAGCCATGGAATGCTCCATTTTAACTCAGATTTTTTGAAAACTCTACACCCCCAGTAGGGAGAATCCTATCTCCCCCCACTTGGTGGCACCGTTGAATTGCAGTGCTGTCTCTTGCATTTTTTTTACTAGAAAAATCCCTGCATTGTGGAACACATGGCTAAACTATAGTGTATTAAAATGCCACAGAGGTCGCCTTTATATTGTCTGTCTTAAATATTTCTTTTTGTAAATTTGATAATTGGCACAATAAATGTCAGTCTCTGTGTGCTCAAACAGTATGTGGAAAAAAACAAATTGTGTTATAGTACTGTTTTTATTGCTGCAATATGAGAATTTTCAACTGGATAACAATTATTCAAATGGTGCAATGACAATAAGGCCACACTGATTTAATTTTACGGATGACATCCTCTGGAGACCCCAAAACTAATGCGAGAGGGCAAAAAAAAAAAATCCTGCTAAAACCATAGGACAGTAGCTGGTATTACGAATTGAACCACAGAACAGTATATCAAAAAAACAAAACAAGAAGTCTTTATTTGTAGGAGGCACATGTTGATGTACACATCTCGTACTGTATTACTGTCACAGATATAACCATTTCAGACAAACTCTAGTACATGCAGTCATGAAGTACCTTCAGTCAGAACACTGCATTCAAGGTACAGCATGAACACCATTTTCAGTACAAGTCAATGCGGAATGTACATATCACTACTTTATGACAATAACTAACAAAACATTGCACTGTGTGTGCAAGCAAATTATCCGAATCAAAAAAATGAAAAAAAAAATAAGAAGAAAATTTTCTACACCTCGAACGCGGACTTCGGCCGAGGAGCTTCCTCTGCTTTCGTTGGTAGCGTGGTCGCCATATTGGACTCATTTACGACAAAATTGGCACGTTTTGAGGTAGTCTAAAACAAGTTTTACGACAAGCCGGCGCTTTGTGGCAATATGAGTCGGCATATTCCAGGCAGAAAACTGCTCTGTGGAGACTCATCGTCGGAGATTTATTTATTTTTTTTGAGAACAGGCGAAAACTAATGCGTGCACGGATGTCATCCATAAAATTAAGTCGGTGTGGCCTAACTCATAATAATGACTGAAAGTTTATATTGAAAAAATATTTCTAAGAAGGGTAATGTTTCTCTCGATTTCGTAAACCCATAACTGCATAATTAGCATAAATTAGTATAGGGTCCTACGACACTGAGTGCCATTGAATTTTGTAAAACTGTGTCTTTCTAGCAGTGAAAATTAATCAAGTGTCGCAGTGCATTTTTTTTATTTTTCATTTAACTAGGGTTTCTTTATGCTGTGTGTGCGTGCACATGGAATTTGCATTGAACACAACACATTTTGAGAAAACATGCCAAGGTATTTGGTTTATCATGTCTGTTGTGGCAAGAAAAATTAATTAAAATTATTTTTCAAACTTGATCAATCCATGGTACAGCTAGCTTATGCACTTTTGGATATATTGGTGACAATAAGGAGTATTTTGTATACACCATCACATCCATGTGAAGCCATTGTCTGATCGGATCAAAAATGGCTGGCTGGCGTCCATGTTGTTTGCAATTCACTCTATAGTATATTAATACATTCCTTACTTTCTCTTATAGTTCACTAGCAATCAAGGTTTTCTATAGTTTAACTATGTTTTTTTTTACTGAATTAAAAATACAATGGGGAAACTAAAAGACTTATTACACCTGAACAACATGATGGATGGTGTCCCATGATGTAATCTCAGGGATTGAGAAAGATTGTTTAATAATAGACCAACTGATGAACACTGTAATCTTAAACCTGATCTGATTGTACAATACGCTTTGCTGCCACATTTGTCAGTTCTTTTTTTCAAAGCATTGCAAACATGACAACGGAATGAAAAGCACCAAGTGTTTCCATGGTGATCAAGCTGTCATAGCCCAATGAATGATAAACATGATGAAATGTGTAAAACGGGATAAATTGTCTGGTTGCTATCAAATCTATGATGGTTTCATCAAATTATATTACCATTGTTGAGTAATTACTGACATGAGAATATCGTATTTATTATCAACTCAAAATGGTATTTATGGGGGGAAATGATTAGTTTGAATCATTAGAATTGTTGCAATAAAATTGCCTCGCTATTTTAAGCCTGCATTTCTGTATATATGGCAAGTTAGATACTTCACTTAATGCCAATATATTAGACTGCTACTGTTTCTCTCAGAGGGGGGGGATTCTTATTAATATTTCAAAGGGGTTAATATTGGGAGTTTATAGGACGTTATTTTCGGACAGGTGTAGTGCAAGTTTATGAGTCTGCTGCTTCCTAAAATAATATAAAGTGGGGAAGTCTACATCTCTTTTTTCACCAAATACCAATCAGTATAGAGTTCCTGGAACGCCTGACCTTTGCAGCTGTTTCCTGTCTACTAAAGAACACGGTTTATTGGGAGTCAATATATTGATAGTACCTGTACATGTATTACTGGCACAGTGTATCGTTCATCTTGCTCTTGGAAAAATAGTTTTGCTGTCCTGAAACGTTGATTTTTCATTTTAATTTGGTGAAAGAATTCCCAGACTGAAATTAGACATACTGAAAACTGTTTTACACTGCAGCAAAATTTCGCCTTTGTTTTACTGACTCACAGAAATCTTTTGCGTACATGTTAGTGTATGTGAGAATATTGTCTCCATGTTATCTATAAATTTAATAAAACTATGTTGGCTCATACTATGTTGGCTGGTATGTGCTTCCAACAATGTTGGCTCATGTTCTGTGTTTTGTATGTACTCCCAACAATGTTCGCTCATGTTCTATGTCTGGTACAATGTATGTGCTCCCAACAATGTTCTGTGTCTGATATGTGTCCCAAACAATGTTCGCTCATGTTCTATGTCTGATATGTGTCCCAACAATGTTTGCTCATGTTCTATGTCTGGTATGTGTCCCAAACAATGTTCGCTCATGCTATGTGTCTGGTACATTATGTGCTCTGAACAATGTCGGCTCATTCTTCATGACTGGTATGAACTCCCAGCAGTGTTGGTTCATGCTTCATGCCCGGTATGTGCTCCCCACAATGTTGGCTCATGCTTCATGCCCGGTATGTTCCCCCCACAATGTTGGCTCATGCTCTGTGCTTGGCATATGCTCTCAGCAATGTTGGTCATTGCTTCATGCCTGGATTGTGCTCTGAACAATGTTGCCTCATGCTTCATGCCTCGTATGTGCTCCTAACAATATTGACCCATTCTGTGTGCCTGGTATGTGCTCCCAACAATGTTGGTCATTGCTCTATGCCTGGTACATGTATAAGCATTTCCCAAAAATTGTTAATCAAGTCAAAGTTTTTTCTGATGAATAATAAAGAACATTTGTTTTGTGTTTACCTGTCATTGAATTGTGAAATGAATATGCTGAGTAATC